GAGAGGCGCTTGTATACGCACGAACGCACGCGCTATAGTCCGTGTACACTGTTCGCAATAATGAGGAGTTTGCACAGACCGGGATCCCGACGTTCTTCAAACAAGGAGAGCAAGGACAAACAGTCGTATATGGGCGGACGGACAAACACGCCACGCCACGAATCACACAGCGTCTATCCGCGTCTCTCTCACTCACTCACTCACTCAGTCAGTCATATAAACGCACACACACACATATATATATACACATACGCGTTTAAACAGACACATATGCACGCTGACGGAAGTCTGGCTGACCAAAGAGAGCGAGAGAGGGAGTCGTAACGAACGAAGGTCCTACAATACCACCCTTCCCCACTATACAGACTATCGACCATCACCCTCGCTCAACAAGCACCATAAGCGATATGGTGGCTAATATTTGCCAGGCTAAGCACACAAATACAATACAGTACTGTTTACCTGTCGTCAGTGGCTCTCAAACCGCTCTTTTAGGATCACGATCATAAACCAACCTAACCAAGCTGTCTTACTTTCTCTTAATATTGTATGTGATATAATTGCACTTATTTTTTTTCACTTATATACTTTTTTTTTCTTTCTTTTTTTTTTCTTCTTATAGGAAGTAATGTAGATTAATTTTCCTGCTTTTATTTGTACGTTGTTAATCTGAGTCATTTCTCTCTTCACAATGCGAATGAGTCATTTCTTTTGTAAGTACAAATTTTTCTTTAATGTGTAATAAAATGGTGGAATTTTCGACTTTCTTAGAAGTTATTTATCTATTCGAAGAATATAACATTATTGGAAAGGAGGAAAGCGTGATAAACAAGGTGATCGTTTGTATTTGACTTATTGATTATTTTTTTTAAATTGTGTGTCTTATGATTAAGAAAGAATGATAAGATTCTATCTATCTTGTACTTCGATTCTATCTTTGTGAACGTGTATTTTTTAATGTTTCAAATCTTTTACGGAAGCGATTTGAAAGTCTATAAATATACAGTTACGATGATTACTTATTAACAAGTTTTTATTGACTTGGCTGGATAATGTCGGAATAAATTAACAAAATTTCAACATTACAAACGTTTCGTATAATACGTGAGAAATAAAATTTTCTAATTTTTTTTTTCTTTCTTTCTTTCGTTTTTGTGCTAACAATTGTGCATTTGTAATAGATCATCCCCCTTCCCACCCCACGTGTATCTTTAAAAAAGGTAATGCGAGGTCTGAAGAAAACTTGAGGAGCATTGAATTCGGTTAGGTCGACTTATCAGAGTCACTTCTACCCTCTGTTCTCTATCGAATTAGCATAAGTAAGCTGGTGTAGCGAGGCAAGGATACGCAAGCTAAGTCGATGTAACTAAATTAGAGACATAGCCTTCTTGATCTCGTTAGAAACTCGATCGGTGGCCCGTATTCGTGTCCTACGTCGTACCTGCTTACATTGTTGTCAATGTCTCTTCAATTTCAATACCCACAAACTCTATCGTATCTTTAACATCATCAATCTCATACATTAGATCATATTAGATCGTTTACACGTACAAAGGAATTTACAATTACAATATATGATTGAAATATAATAATGTATCGTATGTAATTTCGAATGGAAAAACAAATAAAAATAAGTGCATGAAAAAATTTGATATGTCGATTAACGCGAGCACAAAATAACGCAACCGACTATCCTTCCGTAGATACTTTTTGTTTATTTCGTTATCCTTTTCTATCGCAAAACCACAAACTCTAGACTAATCTCTGTCTCCCCCCATCCCCCATACTCAAGCCTGTGGAGGAAGCGATGCGTATTAATCGTTTCCTTCTCGACTGCGAGATCATCTCCCAGTAGAAGTGGTCGCGGCATTCTGGCGTTACGGTGTAGGGGTCAGCTGCTCGGTGGTTTGCGAACTATCTCAATTTGCCTAAGCCGCAACCGCGTGGCAACCACGAAACCGCAACTTCCCTCGTCCGTGGGCAGCGTTCGTTCCTCTTTCTCTTCTCACTCCCCATCACCCTAACTACTCTTCCTCCCTACCACCTCTTTCTCTTCCTCATCCTCTACCTTTCCTGGCTATTGTCTCGTTCCATTCTCCTCCACCTCCTCCTCCTCTTCCTCCTTTTCCTCCGATTCATCTCTTAGTCTCGAGAATTTAGCAACTGCTCCTCGACAGAGTAATCTCCGACCACAGGATCTCCTCTGTTCCGAAGCTTGGCCAAAGCTTGCTGGAAAGCCTTTGGCTTCGTCGCGTGCAACAGAGAAAGATAGTTAGATAAATAGATAGATAGATAGATGGTAATGGTGGTAACAAGAGGACACCCAACCACCCGTTTACCACCCATCTAACATTAGAGTGTTGTACTTTCCTTTCTACGTTAGGTTTAGCGATTCTAATGATGGTATCGCATGATACAAGGATCTTACAAATTCCAGCCTAGATTTGCGAGTAACCATGAGCCAAGTAGAATTTCCAATGACTCTTTCAATCTTATCGCTTTTATCTACTCGACCTTATACACTACTATGTACATTATCTAGTTTCTTTATAATTTTTAAGCTGCATTAGAAATATAGTGATTAATAAAAAAACCGATTAGTCATCGAAACAGGATTATGCAATCGGATTGAAGAATACAATACCGAGTAACCTAACGAAATGGATTCTGACGTATTAGTGGGAATCTTTAAAATTCGAACGATTTCGTTAAACGTTTAGGTTAAAGTAGTTTTGTTTATTTTATATCATTATGATATATTTACTGCATTTATGTCACACACTTATTATATATAAAAGCTGTATGTTCTATTTTATTAACATTTCTTTATTCTTGTATTTGTTTGATATGATTTGAATATTATCAATATTTATAAGATTTATCCAATTGTAAATGATAGCCTTACGCAACAATCAGTATTGTTTCTGACGTCACATGTCACTCTACTCTAGGCGTTTAGCTTTGTTTTTGTTTACTAGTATTACGTCTTTTACAAATTGAAGTAATAATGTTATTGGATACTCATTGTATAACCTTTGTTGCGGTAATATATAAATGGTACGACAAGGAATTAGTAGCTTTAGTTGATGTGTACCTCAATTTTTGATTGGTAGTATACATATAAACATTTACGAATCTACGGACGTTGTAGAAACGAGGAACGAAAAAAAATACGTTGTGAACCGAGTAGTGATCTTTTGATCGTGTAAAAATTGGTTCGTTCAGAAAAGAGAAAGAGAGAGGAGGTGGAGTAGAATTCTCCGTTAAAGAGGGTAGAACCCCAGACACCGTAGCGAGAAGAGAGAAGTCTCTTTTATTGTGTATATCGAGAGAATAGTAGGTACGAGCAGAATTCTTCTCGGGATTTGTAGTCTTTGTCGGTGGTTGAATTGAAGCAGTAGAGGAGGAGGAGGAGGAGGAGGAGGAGGCGGAGAAGAGAAGGAAGAAAAGAGGACTTCCATCTCATTCGATTACAACGGCTCGATTGTTATCGAGGTCACTAGAGGTGCAGAGGTACCTCCCTCTTAACTCGAGGGCGATCTTCCTTCTTCCGTCTATCTATCTTTCTCACTTTTTATTTTCTCTCTCTCTCTCTCTCTCTCTTCCTCTCTTTTCCCTGTTTTACTTCCCCTCTTCTTTCTATCATTCAACACGCTAAAATTCTCAAAAATACTACTAGTAGATATTTTCCCCCACCCTCCAACGTCTTATCTTTCAACAGTTGTCTAAAATCTAGTATCAAATTAAAACAAAAAATATTTTCTATCGGCCTCTATTTGTTTTGAGTTATACATTTAAATCTGAATATCAAATGTCGATACCATCGGGCGCGGTATCTCAGTCCGTTGTTTATTTATTTACTTTTTGGTAACTCGATGATCGAGTTATGGATCGGAAACACATATAGTTTGTAATCGTAGCTTTGGAAAAGTCGAATAGAAAGGATCTACAGGTCCCCGAAAACGCGTTTGTAAGCGTCCAAGTGGTTGCGTACAAATATACATATGTGTAGATGTATGGCATGTGTATGTGTGTTATACTCGCAAGCACGTGCACGAACGAGCGTCTATATACAGTCGAGAACCTCATAGTTTCGGTTGTAGCGTGTAATCCTCCCGGACACCGCAAACGTGTAATTAACACTTGCTCCGTCTCTCTTCTACCTCGTTCTCTTCTCTCTCTCTCTCTCTCTCTCTCTCTCTCTCTCTCTCTCTCTCTCTCTCTCTTCCTCTTCCTCTTGCATACTCTGTTCTAGCTCGTTGTTCCGCGTATACTACATACGATAGTGTAGTTTCACGTACGGGGAGGTAATCGTGCGTGCACGCGTGTTCACGCGCACCGTGAACTATCGTCTTCTCTCTCTCTCTCTCTCTCTCTCTTCCTCTCTTGTTCTTTATAGTAGAGTATATACCACCGTTGGTTCTCGTGTTTCCACTTACTGTTTCTGTCTGTCTCTCTCTCTCTCTCTTTCCTATTTCTGTCTCTCTTTACTATACGCGTTTGTATCGCTTTCTCCTATGTAACAGCATATACATATCGCGGTGAGAGAGTCTATACCTACGTATTTATCTCTCTCTCTCTCTCTTTCTCTTTCTCTCTCTTTCTCTCTCCTTTTGCCTCTCCGTCTCTCTTTCTTTCATGTATGCGAACGCGCCCACGCTCCTCCTCGAGCGAACAGATGTACGGAATTAATTATTCGACGTGCAGGAAACCACCGACGACACGGGTGCTTCTTCGTTCGTACGCAAGTATCGAATTATGTTGGACAAAGCGACGCTTTCACGGAGAATTTCACTGGTTAAAAAGGAAGACCGCCCATCTTCCATTATTCCAAATGTATTTTTTATTTTATTTACATTCGTTCATTCATTCATTCTTTCTTTTTTCTTTCTGAATATTTTTTAATCGTCCTGCGATGATGATGATAGCTACTTAATTTTCAACAATAAAAAATGAAAGAGGTAATTTAACAATAAAACACTTTTGTTTCTGTAATGCAGGGACCACCACAACCAGGCCAGCCATTCAAGTTCACAGTGAACGAGTCTTGCGACAGGATCAAGGAGGAGTTCAGCTTCTTACAAGCGCAATATCACACGTGAGTTGTTCCCATCGTTCCTGCTTTTTTTTTTCTTTCTTTTCTTTTCTTTTCTTTTCTTTTCTTCCTTTCCCTTCCGTTCCCTTCGAGAGGGTCTTTGTCCTTTATCCTTTTACAGAGCGAGTCAATAAATACTGGTTTGTAAAAAAGACCCTGGTTGGTATAGAACGAACGAACGAATGAATGAATTGAAATGAAATGGAATGAAATGAAAAGTTATCATGAAATTTTATAGAAAACATCAAACCTGTATCTATAAATAATTTCGTTCGACTTTTCCACGTGTATAATAAAAAAAAAAAAAAAGAAAAAAAAAATAGAAAAAAGAGAAAAAAGTTAGCTTTGGTTGTTGCAACAATGATGTATCATTGTAGGGACTCGCTCTGTATATTATGGATCGGTTCTTTTGAACGCGCTCGCGCGTTTCTGGCGCATGAGAGACTGGGAACAAACGCAGCTGGCTTCTTCTTTGAGGTGCACGCGACGCGCGGAAGCCATAAGTGATTTACGACGAAACGTGGCTATCGGCGAACGCTTAATGCTACTCTTGCATTCGCGATATTCTTTTTTATTTTTTTTGTCTTTCTTTCCTAGACCTTACGATCATAGACTTATAGACAACCTTTCTCTCTCTCTACCTCTCTCTCTCTCTCCTAGATTACGCGAGTATATTCTCCATCCCTCTTTTCTGTGGGAATACGAAATCGAGGAAACCTTGCCACTTGTCACTGCATTTTTCAACATTCACCCGAAGAAGCATTCAAACTTTACCATCTATCTATCTCTATCATTATTTTCTATTCTATTTATCCCTCTTCGATATACCGGAACACTTCCGCGACCTTTTGCTCTTTCTTCTCTCTTCTATTTCTAGATCTTTTACTTGTTCTTTTTTTTTCCTTTTTTTTCTTTTTTTTTTCCTTTCTTTCTTTCTTTCTTTAATCTTTCTACCGTCGTATCGTCGTACGCGTTCATATCCGTTAAATCCTTTGTCTTTGTCCTAAGCTTTTTTAAAAAATTACCTAGAGCATAAAAATCGAAGAAACGTTTCTATAGAAAACTCTCTCTCTATACTAGCTTTTATAATACTTTTATATATTATCGTTCATGTGTTATTTTTAATGTCATCGAGCTTTGATAACTTTGTCTTTCTCATTGTTCAGATTGAAGATGGAATGCGAAAAATTGGCTACAGACAAGATCGAGATACAACGGCATTATGTGATGGTAAGCAGAACAAAAATCATTATCCAAAGTTAATTTTTCCGAGTTTCTGCACCTTCTCGCTTTCTATCTTTCCTCCTGCCTAAACGCATACATTTATACATGCATATGTACAAAAATACATAACCTACGTACGTTACATACATTCTATTTCGAATAATTATGCTCGCTTGAGCGTTAAATCATCGAGATTTTTTAACATTAATTACATTCCCGTGCACACGCAAACTTTGAGTTGGTTCTTCCTTCTGTTCAAATTTCTCCATTTATCTCTATATCTATCTTTTGCCTTTCTCTCTCTCTCTCTCTCTCTCTCTCTCTCTCTCTCTCTCTTTCTGGCACTTATGTTGAACGTGTATAACGTAGGTACTATATATTACATACTTACATAGGTGTATCCATATCTATAGACACATACTCGTCGTCTATATGTATACTTATTCTAGCTTACACAGGAACGAACACGCAGTACAACACTCCTATCATGCATAGCTAATGATACTAAGAGCCAGTGGTGCTCATCGATTTACCGAAGTCACGTTGCTCCTGCTTTGGGTATCTAATGACAAACTAATACGTCGTAATGGCAGACCGTTGTCCAACGGCTGGTTAATGCCTTTGGATTACGTGGTCGTTCTCATTGGCTTGCTCTCTCCTTCTCTCTCTCTCTCTCTCTCTCTCTCTCTCTCTCTCTCTCTGTCTCTCACTTTCTCTCTCTCCCTATCTGTCTGTATTCAACGTTCACACCGCGGTCGATCGAGTTCAGGCAGAGTCAGCTAATTACGACAGTCCTGTTCAGCTATCGTACTATCGGCGTGACTTTGCGTGGAAACTTGTCGGAGATAACAAGAAAGCGTAATTAACGAGTTTCTTTTACCTCGACCATCCTCGGCAAAATGTTCTATCTCTCTTATTTTCTCTCTCTCTCTCTCTTCCCTTCTTTTCTTTATTTATTTTTGTTTCGTTTAACAGTTCGATGTATCGCTTAAAAGTCGAAACGATTGTATATATTGAGTTTTTTTTTTCCAAGTTGAATTTCCTGTAGATCGATAAAACGCCATCGGTAAAAGCTTTGAAAAAAAAAAAAAAGAAGAAGAATACGTTTCTGGACGGGATTGGTGGATGCCGATTGACGCCACATTGAATTTTAGTCAAGTCGATAGATAACTTCTTTTACGAGCACGTAAAATAAACGACAATGATAACGTCTATTCTATTTTTGTTTCTTTCATTCTCTCTCACTCTATCTATCTATCTATCTATTTCTAGTCTTCTTCACTGGGTTAGTCCTTTGTCTGCTTAACGTTAATTACAATTCCACACGTTCCGAGATTTTGCGCTTTGATGCCAACGAAGAGAATAAAGGGAAGCACAAGTGGTGTGTTGGTGCTGGTGTTACTGGTTCTAAAGCTACACTGCGACACGTTTGGCTCGCGCTATACGCGTGTCAAGTTTACCAAGTTCGAACGAACCCACCACCAACCGTGGGATCGCTTTCGTGCAAGTTGACCTGCCAATTTTGAAAGGTATTCTCGCGATAGAAACGTCTATCGATCCGAGACTTAACCGCTATCTCGTTTCGATCTATCTAACATTTATCTTCGCGTGTCCTATTTTAATTATTTTCTATTATTACCATTAGTTGGAATAAAAAACATTTTTCACAATAATATCGTATAAAAACATTAAATTGTAGAAATTACACGATTCGATTCTTTACTCTAGTATCGTATGAATTGTTTCATTCTATTCAAGAATATAAACTTGAAATGTAATCCCCCATTTCGATAGAGCGAGAATAGAGGCCTAAATATGGGGGGGGGGGAATGAATAGATATATGTACGTAGATGAAGGAACGATTCGTTTATCAAAGTTTCAACTATAGGAGAGAAGGCAGAAGGCAATTAATACTTTGACTCGAGTCGGGGGTTAATGGTTCGCGCGTAATTACTTAGCAACGTATCGCGTTCTATTCTACATTCATCGCGCGACGATATGCGGGACGCGTTTCAACACGCATCTCCCACTAGAATCGCGGTATCTTCATCTCTATCTATCTATCTATCTATCAATCTATTTATCTACCTATCTACCTACCTACCTATCTTCCTTCCCCAACCATTTCTTCCTATGTTCAAAGCACGCACGCGTGCGCGCGTGCGAGTGCGAGTCGTGTCACACCGACGTGTATATTTTAAGCACGTGTACGTGATCTTGTTAGCCACCACGTGCACATCGGCTCGATACTAATTTATTGTTGTCCCTCACGAGCCAGTGGCAGCCAGCAAGCAAGCAAGCAAGCAGGCAGGCAAGCAAGCAGGCAGGCAGGCAGGCAAGCAGCAAGCAAGCAACATCGGTGGAACGACGTAGCGTTGCTGTTTTGTTTTCGGCTCACGACGTGTTCCTGTTTTGTGTCAGGAAGAGTTGATGCCGATGGGTAATAGGTAAAGCGTAGGTGGAAGAAGAAGAAGTATGGCAGAGAAGGGTGTCCATTCTCGTCCACCCTCCTTCATTTACCACCCTCCTTCATCCTCTCTCTCTCTCTATCTTGTTTTTCTTGTTCGTCTCCCCCTCTCCCTTCTCTTGAGCATGAACGTTGTACGGACTTAATTGGCGCGCGGAGGCGACTAGTTTAAACACGATTAATCAAGCGGACGAGCCGACACGACGACCAGGAGGAGGAGGAGGAGGAGGAGGATGAAGAAGAAGAAGATGAGGTGGAAATGTAGTTGGTGGAGTAGTAGTAATAGTAGTAATAGTAGTAGTAGTTAAAGGAAGTCTACGTTCGGCGCAGAGATTTATCGACGCGAACCACGAACGAGAACTCTGCTCTTTCATCCTCTCTCTCCCCCACCTTCGTTTCCCTTCTAACAGTCTACCGAACACGTTGTCTCTCATAATTCGACTTATTGCAAATCGTGCCATGGCACCCATCCCACTTCCTTCATATACACTTATACACACGTAGAAACTTCTATATAATTTGAAAGGCCGATCAACGCGTTCTCCTCGACACCTTGCCCATCGATAATTATTAATTAATTACACCCGATACCTAGTTAACGATCCCTTTCTTTCTTTTTTTTTGTTTTCTTAGTCGTTCGACAAGAAAGGTCGACGAAGATGATTCTTCACGCCTACGAGATCCGTCAAAGTCGTTAATCGATACTGCTGCAATTGGAAAAGGTTGGCTGCTCGTTTTCTTTTTCTTTTTTTTTCTTTATTAGATCTCAACTACCTTCGTTTAGTTAGCTCGTCGTTGTCGTCCTCTCTACACCTCGCTCCTTCCTCTACTTCTCTTTCATTTCTCCCTCCTCTTCCTCCTCCTCCTTTTCCTCCTCCTTTTCCTCTTAGATTCTCTCGCGAGAGAAATAACTTACTTACGACGCAATTAATTCGTCCGTGTAATTACCGGGCTAATGGCCCGTAAGATTAAGAATCTGTAAGCCGAGTACTCGAGAACGTGCATTGCACACGTTTTGCTACTTCCTTCCTTCCTTCCTTTTTCTCTCTCTATTTCTCTTCTTTCTTTCTTTCTCTCTCTCATACACACATAATATAATATAGTAAGATTGCTGAAATCGTACCTCCTAAGAAAAAAAAGTATATAAGATGTGTAATTTGATATATATAAAGAAGAAGTTTGTATATTTTTCATAACTTCATTTAACATTGATTTCATTTATTTTAATGAAATTCGAAATATCTACACGCGCGCGTTTTTACATAAAATTAAGAAAACTTAATAAATGAATATCGTATGACTAATGTAAGGAAGGTAACAAAAATTGATTGCACGAATCAATATTGTTGTTTGACGTCGTTGTTTTGATATCGTCAAAACGTCAGAGTTACGATTTGGACAGTGATACAACTTGAGCAACTTTATCCAATCTTTATCTTCACTTTTCTTTATGCACCGCTTACAGTTTATTGCAATTAAAGGATAATTAATAACACGTTATCATGTAAACGGTGCAACTAGGTACAGTATTAGTCCTCTACTGTTACTACTATAACTACTAATATCAGCCAACTATCTCGTTTCTCTGTGACTAATGATCTCCGTGTATGGACTCGGTAGAGTTCGTCGACGCAAAGGAAGAGAAAGAAGAAGAAGAAGAAGAAAGAAGGCTCGTACTAGGAAAATTATTCTTTTTCGATAAAGAAACTTTTAGAAGCTGGGACAGATCTAGAAAACGATGTTAAATTGCTACCGGCGTTGTTTTGTTACTTACTTGCTTGCTTGCTTGCTTGCTTGCTAGCTTGCTAGTTACCTTGCTCGCTAATGCTTACCGTGTTAAACGGCTCAGAAAAAGAGTGAGATAGAGATAGGGAAGAAATGAGGAGAAAGTTAAACAAGGACGACCGCAAAAACCACTGCGGCCAGTAATGGTGGTGGTGGTGGTGGTGGTGGTGGGTAGTGGTGGTGGTTCTGAGGTTATCCTTGTTGTTTTGTGCAATAAACGTTCGCGCAGCTGAGAAGAAAGTGTTCGATTCGAAGGACGTTCTCTTCGTTAGATACAAAATTCTTAGTAAATTATTCTCGTTATCTCCTTACATACTTACGACCATTCAATTGGAATTAGATGAAAATGTCGCCTGTTTGTACATAAAAAGAAAGAAAGAGAGAGAGAGAGAAAAACAACCTCTAACTAGATTTGAAATCTTCGAGTATATTACTTCGAAACTAGCCAGAGTTGTCTCTTTTCTCGCGCTTTAATTAAGTCGTGAACGAGTGCCGTTACCAAATACGTCGCGAATGAGAAACGTAGTCAGGTAATACTTATTTATATATATACACACACACACACATACATCGTAAGTGAGTAAATAAGTAAATACATAGAAACGAAAAAGCGAGACACGAATCGTCCTATCAATTTACATGGGAGACTCGAGAAGAGAGAGAGAGTGCAATTAGAATCGAAACGCCTCGAATTCCGAAAAATTAATTCATACGACGTTTTTGTTCCTATCATTTCCTATCTTTTTCATTATTTCTTCTCGCAGTTTGCATTTTAACGATCGAACAGACTGCAGAAGAAAAAGATAAAACTTGTATGTATATATACATATATATCTATACTTTATTTTTCTTTTTTATTCTGTTTGTTACAGTATTACGAGATGTCGTACGGCCTCAACGTCGAGATGCACAAACAGGTAAATATCTTTAGCATCGAAATAATTTAATACATTTTTACAATATCGTTCGCCAACGTCGAGTCGTGAGGAAAAACGTTGGTAATATATATTGTATATAATATATACATATATATATATATATACATATACAGTACATGTCTCGTTTGAAACAATATGATGCCATCGTGTTTCTTTATACGTACGTAAAAATACGTAGCGTTAATATATCGTATTGCGAATTCAAATGTTTATAACTTGTCTAACATTTTCCGTCTTTACTATTCTTCTAAAATATAAAATATAATAATTTGTCTTTTACTTTTTTCTTTTTCTTTTTTCGTATTTGTAAAAAAATTAAAAAGAAAATTTAATGTATTATATTATGTTCATTTCTTTTTTTTTTTGAGAAGGAGTATAAAGAGATGGTCATCAACGCTATCGTACAGTTTGTATATACATATGTATTTACATACTTATATACGTTCATGCAATATCCTCTTTTTTTTCCTTTTTTTTTATCGTCTCATTCCACTTCTTTCTCTTTATCACGATCCTCCCCTCCTCTTCCTCCTTCAACTCCTCCTCAACGGTTTCCTCTTTCGAGTGGCGTTTTATTTTCCGACTGCGTTACCGCGCGAGAGGAGATGTCGCGCGTCGTCGATTCTCGTATGTTTGCCAAAGTTATTAAGGTGAGATAAGTTTGCTCCGAGTATATACCGGCGAATAAACATTTGCCGCGATGACTCGACGACACGAGTAACGATTTAACGAAAGAAGAACGTTGGGAATTGTCGATGGGAATGAGTAAGAATATTCTTCTTATGTCCTTTCTTCTTCTTCATCTTTTTCTTTTTCTTCTTTTTTTTTTTTCTTTCTTTTTTTTCTTTTTATTTTTATTACGTTGTTTTCTTTTTTTACAAAGTACGATGGCTTCTCGATTCTGACGCCTACGATGATAAAATATTCTTTTTTTTATACAATGATATTTTTCTTCATTTTTTTTTCTTTTTTTTTTTCTTCATGCTTCGTTCGATATTCTTACAAATTATGCAAGGAAAAAATTAACATTTTTAAGTAACCAGTTTTGCCGATCTTTTTCCTGTAAACACGTTTCATTTTATATGTGTATTGCATACTTACCATTAGTATTATACAAATACAGTATTGAACGCATTTGAAGTATTGACGCAGATTACATTTTCTTGTAACGTTTATTTAATATTCTTTTTTTTCTTTTTCCTTTGCTTTTCTAAGTATATCTTTGAGTTGAAAGTTTAATAAGCACGGAAGATATAATCGATGTTAACTATATAGTTTTTAATTATAAAACCAGGAATTTATTATATACTTTTATTCTACATAAACTTAATTACTGTGGCTTATAATATCTCTATTGAAACTTTTAAACTTGAGATGATTTATTTAAAAAAAGAAAAAACAAATTAAATAAAGAATCGTAATTTGTACGCAGAGGATAATTTTATGGGAAAATCTATCGTCCATCAATATGTTACCTTTTAAACACTATATATATTTGTACGTATACATATAATACTCGAAATCTAAGTATGTCCTCCTATGTATTATATTCAGTTCTTATTAAATGTTTTGCCGTACTTATTCTGACAGCTTTATCTTTAATCTCTTTTCATTACTCGTCCAATTCTGAGTCTCTCCTTCTCGTGTGGCTTCATTTCTGCGGCGTTGGCACGAGTTAGCCGAGATTAAAATAGAGGAAAGCGGTAACCTCTCCTTCTCCTTCTCGTCTAACATAAGCCTGTCCTTTAAAGCTTTCAAAATAAGAGCACTCTTGACTCCAAGGAAACTCCGAATCACTTTACCTTTTCTTTTTCTTTTTCTTTTTCTTTTCTTCGCTCTTAAAAACGATATTTAAGCTACATAAGTCGATGACATGTCTTTTAAGATCTCTAAAAACTCTCTGTAACCCAATTTTTTTCTTTTATTTTTTCTTACATGTTTCAGACGAAATATGTCTGTTTTTTTACTTCGAATTTTACCATTAATAAAAAGTGTAGATTCCAATATTATATAAAAAAACAATTTTAAATGATTCTTCCAGTAAATAAATAAAAAAAAAATAAATAAGGTTGAAGAATAAAGTTATGTTTACGTCGATCGGTGAAACGAAGAAAATTTAGAAATGCAATTAATAGTTATTAGTTAACTTCTATTAAAACGTAAAATTTTGGAACATCGTTTCTTAAGTATAAAAATAATTGAATATCCATATATATATATATTTAACGAATGAATACCTATCACCTATCGAAGAATAGAGTCTTTTAAAAAATGTAAAGAGATTTTATAAAAACGTCTCTCACGAGTACATACACATATATATATATGTAAATATACATATAGATATTTCTTTGTAACAGTGTGTATATATAAAAGAAGAGCTATCGTTTGCAGCCATCGAGCATCGTATAATGGCGAAAAATGGAAGAAGAGGATAGAGAAAGAGAGAGAAAGAGAGAGAAGAGCATTACGCTTTCTCGCTAAGCCACGGTGTTTTTTTTATTTTATACCGTCTGCGCCATAATACGTATAAGTGCTTTATAATTTCTATAAAAGCTCACACAGACCGTGGAACGCGATATATTCTTCTTCTTCTTTCTCCTCTTTCCTCTCTCATTCCATCCCATCATTCTACCACCTCTATTTCACCCACTACCCTCTCGTTCCTTTCTGGTTGTTCTTAACCAACGACTGCATTTTCACTCTCGAAAAAATTCAAAACCTGTCTTCTTTTTATTCCTCTTCTACTTTCTCATGGTTTAGAAGCGCTATCATCGTTAACGATAATGGACGATTTAATTACAATCTCGATTTTTCTTTTTTTCTTTTTTTTCTATCCCGCAGACCGAAATATCGAAGAGACTGAGCGCCATTATCGCTCAGATGCTGCCGTTTCTTTCTCAGGATCATCAACAGCAAGTTGCTTCGGCTGTCGAAAGGGCGAAACAAGTTACCATGGGGGAGCTCAATTCTATAATTGGGGTAAGTTCGATTAAATTTTTTAAACAATTAATCTATTTACTTGCATTGGACGTATCAATTTTATATATATATTTACAATAATTATCTCAACGGGATTATTATTATCGACGAATAAATATATTATTGCGACGAGACATTTTGCGTCGAACTAATGTTTCAATTATTCATTGACGTTTAATTTTAATATCGAGTAATAGAAGAAAATTCGCGACGTTTTTAGATTCGTTTATCATTTATCTCTATCGATTATAATGCCACGAACTTTTGTCTTGGGTTACCTTTTTATATTAGTTCAAAATATATTATTAATTCGTTTATAATATTTACGTTTGTTCCGATTAACAGAATTTTAATTGAATTCTTTTTGCAATCTCACATTAATCTTTTATTTTATTTCATTTCATTTCGATAAGGTTAATAAAACATAAAGTATTCTTTCGGAATAAAGTCAAATGAAAAATTGTTAAATCGAAAATATCGAAGATTATTGATAGAAAATATTACAAACAAACGAGATGGTCTTAAGTCGACGATTATTCCATTCATGCTTATAGATCAGAGAAGGAAACATGCATTTTGGCCGGGATGATAAGCACGCTCACTCGTTCGAAATTGGCATGCGACCGTGGTGACCCGTCGCGTGTAATTGAGTTCCAAGTTGCTACTCTCTCCCTCCCCTACCCCTCTATCTATCTATATATCTTTCTCTCTCTCTCTATCTCTTCGCGTGCATGACTCGAATAATTTTCTAGTCGCCGATAGCAAATCCTAAACGAACGTGTACAGAAATCAACCTCGGTCGGTCGACGTCAAGTATCGAGAATGACTTCAATTATTTCTTCAACGAAACTGATTCTAACATAGAAAGAAAGAGAGAGAGAGAAAGAAAGGGAGAGAAAATGTTCGCATATAAAATAAATTAAGTATCTAAATAAAAAAAAATAATTATCATGCGTTCGCGATCAAAAGGGTAGAAACTCCAAAGCTATAATAATTTTGTATACCGTATAGTATTATATACCGTAAAGAACGAATAAAGGTAAAAGAGAGGAGCGGGGGAAGATGGCCACCTTCGTTTGAAGAAAAGAAAAAAAAGGAGGGGAAGGAAGGGGGAAAAAAGCAGAAGGGAACGCTAGGTAAAAAACGATCTTGTGGTTCTCGGTAATCAGGTGTTGTATATTGGTAGTATGGTGGGCTATGAAAGAACAGAATGAGAGAGAGAGAGAGACAGAGTGGAGCCGGAAGGGAATGAAGGGTAGAGGGGGTGAGTTTGAAAGGGGAGACGCGTTCTGGAGGCGATGAGGGCAAATAGACAGAAGCGCCAACCCTCCATGAATATGTATTACTCGGTAAACAGGGCTTGAATCAATATTTCGTTTAATAATACTGCACACTGAACGCAGCAGCCCTTCGAACTCCCTTCCCTTACCCCCTTGTCCCCCGTACCCCCTGTCCCCTTCTCACCATCTATCATTTTCTCTGTCTGTTTGCCTGTCTGTCGATTTAACCGTCTCCCTCGTACACATGCATGCGTTTTCATGCTCGCTCCTGTAGAGCCGCCCCATATAGCTTTTTGTCACGCTTACCTCGGTGCGTTTAACGCGCACAGGTAAGAAGAGGGGTTCGAGTCTCACCTTTCTAGGCCTTTAATCATCCTTACTTTCAATCCGGACGCAAAGAGCCCCTTCTTTTGTAGTTCTTCTTAAAGGGATTTTTTTGTCGTTTTTCATTCCTTCGATTTGTCGCATTTTTATCATAAACGTCGTCCGTCTGTCGTGCCGATTATATTGCGCGTATTATTCATACCGCGTTAAACGTCGTTTATTATTAATTATCGGCTCTGATTAAAACGTGGAGGAAAATTGTACGTGTCGTTTACATTAGATAGAAGAACAACAAAGTTTAGATATTTTTTTGTTCATATTTTATCGCAAGGATTAAACTTGCAAGAGAAAGAAAAGCGGAAAGAAAGATAGGATAATGAAGTGGCACGTGATGAATCCGGACGCAAAGCCGTGGTAGAAAGGTAGTAGGGGTGGAGGGAGGGGCTTCTCTGGAGGGTGGCAGGAAACTCGAGTCGGTGTGGCCCTTAAACCGGAAGTCGAGTGGCCGGGGGGCAAATTGCACGGTACTTCCTCACGTACGTGCCGGTAGCGGGCCGCAAATACGTCCCCGGAGAGATAAACGTTGGCTGGTCTTGGCACCGACGGGGGAATCTATATATATATATACGTATACATATATATATATATATATATATATATATATATATCTACGTGACCTTCTCCTGGCGACTCATTCCAAGCAAGGAACCTACATAGAGAAGGCAATCCGCAGCCCTTCGGGGCGAGTTCACTGGGCGGAGACGGGGAAATAACTATCGCACACAATCGGCGCGTAGCCCGAGAGGGATTATTTCGTATAATCCACCCCTAGTGCTGGCAAACCCCTCAGGCTCTTCTCTCCCCTTCTCTCTCTTTCTCACTCTCTCTCTTTGCACACCCCTAAGTGCCTAAAGTGAAATCCACGATAAGCACGATTCGCACGCGTAACGAGTTTATCGGGATTCCCCCTACTTCCCTTTTCACGTTTGTACGTCCCGACACACGCACACTATCTTACATTAAATTATACGTATATATACAAATGTCGCAATCCCTAGGGCTCGTCGAACGACCCTACTTCCTCTCCCTTCCTCTCTTCTATCGTTCTTCCTTTCCTTGCGCTTTCTATTTTCGAAACCTATTATCTAGAACACGATCAATATTCTTTCCTTCTCACTCTTTCTATAATACATGCAGCGGTTACATACTTGAATAATAGCCTTTGTATTATTTCCTCTCTTTCTCTTTCTATTTCTATTTCTATTTCTCTTTCTCCTCGCTACCTTCTCAAACGTACGATGCTAGCCTAGCTAGCAGCGCGTTTACGTTTCTACTTCGATAGGGGATGGGTAATACGAGAAAGGCGAACTTGTGGACAAATACCCGTACCTGCCTGCTTTTTAGAGAAGGGTGGATAATAATGAGGGTTGGATCATTCTATTGACACGTCCATATAAATGTTCGTTTATTTAGGACATTAACCCCTATGATAAATCACATATTGATTTCTCAATACAATACTTATTTATCTATTGAGCAAATTTTAAACTCGAGTTCGTCTTTCGAATGTATCGTAATTAAACTTACGTATGAAATATTGCTTCTTTCTTTTTTTTTCTTTTTCTTTTTTTTTCTTTTTCTTTTTTCTATCGTAAACACTGTTGTCATCAATTTGCACGTCCTTGTACGAACGTATGAAATGCATCGAAATAAAAAAAACATTGACATACATCGTGTATATACACTTACATACATGCATACATACATACGTTCACTCTCGTTAAATATAATTATGTTTTCCTTGCAGACGTTGCAACAACAGAGGACCGATATTCCACGTCTACTGCAGCAAATACACGCTCAACAACTGCCAGGAGCGGCTATAGCTGCCCATCCAGGAATCCCGGGTCTTCCTGGATTAGGACCAGCTGGTGGTCTTCCGGTACCAACTTCCACTTCCGCGACTTTACTCAGCCTTGGATTGACTCCGGGAACAGCAGCAACACCCGGAACGACTACTGCTCACCCGCTTTCGATGTTAGCTAAACCAGAGATTCATCGTGGCCAACCGGATGATCTCAAAAGCAACGGTGGTCAGTTTTTTAGATATCATCCGGGCGATTATATCGAAAACCTATCAAATCTAGACTATTATATGCGATATCCATACCCATACACAAGTAGGTTTATAATTTTTTTTTGGTTTAATTAATATATTTCTTAGAAATTTTATTTGGGATTTATTTTCATAAACGTCATGGTTGATAATTGTTTCGTTGGTTAATTAAACGGGTAATAAGAAGAAATCGTTAGGACGGAAATTAAACGACTCGTGTTAGTTAGAAAGGTTTACATTCGTTGATAAAAATGAAGGAGGAGTACCTACTCGTTTTAATAGCGTGGAATGAAGGACACTTTTTTTCGTCGTTTCGAAGAAGGTGGTGCAGTAGTAATACCGTTAGCTACCGCGGAATAGCGAAAGATCGCGTGTTGTTTCCTTTCCTCCGCATAATGATTGCAAACGCGGCTCGCGTTGCGTTGAATTGCGTTGTTACATGCCTCGCAACCGCTCGTTCGTTTGTTCGTTCGTTCGTCGTCGTCGTCGCGTATCGTTGCGAGCTGTTGTCGAGCGAAAGTCTCGATGGGACATGATAATTCACGATGGTACCGGCACACGCGAACCTTATCGTAGTATAGTCGAGAAAAGTATATGGAATTATTCGGGTTATAGGTGTACGATATACAGGGTGTACACTTAACACGCGTTCTCCCCTCTATTTGACTCAACGTGTATAAGGGAGTTACTACACTTGTTGTAGAGGTACGAAAACAGTGAAGAGAAAAAAAATTTTGTAAAAGGATATATAGTATACGTTCATATATTCATGCGTGATCTTTAACCATTTTTCTGTTCCAATGATCGTTATCGTAAAAAGTCGAGTTGATATAACCAAAGGACAACATGAAATGCCTCCACGCCATTGTGTATAGAGTAAACGTCAGAAATTGGTGAAAAAAGATAAGACACGATGTGCCCACGGTAATTACAGGTTTGCATTCGGCCGATCCTACGGAAGTATTCGAAACGAGCACTTCCTCGAGATAATAAAAGGTAAGAAATTACTTCATACGATATGAAAGATCGAGAGAGAGAGATAAGAAAAACAAGAAAAAATGATTTTCAAGCCAATTTCTTTCACTGTTTTCGTACCTCACGTACGATCTCGGCACGTTTATAAAAGGAAGTAGGTATTTCGCGTGTCAAAGAAATTAAAATCTATATCTTTAAAATATGTAAGTTGAAGAATGAATCGTATATAACTGCTTACAAAACGGTATCTATATTTGTATGTCATTATTAAATGCACGAATAATAATTATTCTTATTAACGAGATTAATTTAAATCATTTATATATATCAACTATATAATACAGTTAAGGAGACACCCTGCGTATATATTATATATAAATTAAAAATAGAAATATTCAATGATTTCCGTGGATTGTAGCGATAGAAAACGAAATTTTCTACTCTTTCATAAAGGAAACTCGTTTGATCTTGCGATACTCGACGCGTATGTACACATACACATATCATTTCCCGCGTTGAATGAAAAGCTTGCGTTCAGGCGTGGATAAAGAGGGGTGGTAGTGTTGGTATTTTGGTGTTGGTGGTAGTGGTGGCAGTGGTGGTCGTGGTCGTGGTTGAAGGGGTTGGAGAAAAAGAGGGAGAGAGGAAGAGGGAGAGGGAGGCATCAGAGGTGCAGCGTGCATGACGTTAAAAAAAATATGTAGTGTCTAGGCGACGCAAAGAGAGTGCCTGGGACGAGGAAGAGGAGGATGGAAGAGGTGTTGGAGAGAGGAAGCGGTGGGATAGGGGAGGGGAATGGGAGGGACATGGGGGATGGAACAGGACGAGTCGGTTCGCTTGCCCGGAAATTTTCAAAGCGCTTTTCGGGTATCCGCTTTCGAGAGACGAAAGCGTGTTGCGTCACCCTGTTAGCGTACACCGGCGGTTTTCAGCGAAAAGCGCATAAATATGCATGAAGATCATTTATACGGGTGCCGTTTTCCCTCTCCACCCACCCCTTTTTTCTCTCTCTCTCTTTCTCCCTTTTTTTTTGTTCCATAGACCTCGCACATCTCTTTCTATGTTATTAACATTTTATCGACGCGTTTCGCGCGTGTTAGTAGGTATGCGTTTTCCGCTCACTGCTTTTTTCTTTTTTTTTTTCTTTCTCTCGACTCTTTCCACGCTCCGTCGGACAAGGAGAGAAAATCGTTTTCGATGATTGAAAAAAAAAGAAAAAAGGAGAAATAAAAGAGAGAAAAAAGAAATGAAAGGAAATAAAAAGAACGCAAAGAGAGGAGAGCGGAGGAGGTAGAGATTAAATGTGAAAAATAATTATTTAAATATATAAAAGAATACTATGTGTTATAAACGTTCCGGGATTCTTCTCCCATTAAAAGAGTCGGGCTAACGAGATATTTTTTTTTTATTCTGTTGCAGGTCTTAGCTCGACCGAGGAGAGACACGTGAGTAGGCGTACAATTTAAACAAAACAAAAAAAATTCGATTTTTTCGCATCTTAATCCCTCGAAAGAGAGAGTGAGAGAAAGAGAGAAAGAATGTGTGTGTGAGAGAGATTCATAAAAGGAGTCACGCGAGCTACGAATTTTGCTATCGAAAAATACCTTACGTACATTATGTAGAATATATAACATATTTATTATATATATTTATATACGTATGGAGTTAAACGATATTTTCTGTTTTATTTTGTTAAATATTTGTATTTTTTTCGAAAGCTCGTTCGTGCTGCAAGCGATTCTCGATTGTAACGAATTTCCCCATTATCTGCGTCGAATGTCGGCGCGATGAAAGGCGATAAAGCTGTTTTTTTCTCTCGCGGTCGTAATCAACGCTCGCGCCGAACGTTCGCCTCGGTTATTGCTGTTATTGCATCGTTTATATGCACGTAGCTACTTCGTACGTACCTAGTAGATACACATATATACGTATGTATGTATAGATTGACGCATCATATGTATACGTGCGTGCGTGTGTACGTGTCTAAATACATGGGTACAAATCTCGCGTCGAAATTTATAGCGACGCGATCTCGCGCATCGTTAAATATTTCTCATTCGGAGAACTGGCCGTATAAATTATTTATCGAAACGTCAAATTAATAATCCGATTAGCCGTGAAATCGTGGCAATTGGATTCGTTGATAGTCGGCGTGGGGAAATGCGTAAACGACAACGGGAATGAAGATGAGAAGGAGGATGAAAATGAGGACGGCTTTTACTGCCGAAAATAGTATTTCGTTAAAGATGAAGATATGAGAAAGAAGGTGAGGCTTTTTAAACTCGTTCTCCCCCAACTTGTCCAACGTAATTAGTATATTTTGGCGAAGGCGAAGTTCTCGTTGTAAGAAGAAAGAAAAGAGACGAGGGAAGAGTGGAAAGAATAGAAGAAAACAAAATGGAAAAGAAAAGAAATAGTGCTTTTGTAGAAAAAAAGAAAGATATGGAGATAGACAGAAAGAAAGAAAGAGAGAAAGAGAAATGCCCAAGCAAGCATAAGCACAAGCGCATAGTCAAGTCGTAAGTCAGAGAGAAGCGCGTGCAAGCGTACTCGAGCGTGGTGGTACTCAACGTAGCCTCGTGTATAACACGCAGATTACACGCGTGTAACTTTTCGTGCTCGCGAAGGGTGGTAGAAACGAACGAACCAACCAACCAACGAACGAACGAATGCCGGCGTGCCGGCTGCTGCTTTGCGTATATACGCGCTCTCTACGGTGCAATTTATGTTTTCGACGGACGCTCGAGAGCCACGGAAAGTGGCCCCGCAGAAAGAGAGGGAGAGAGAGAGAGAAAGTACATGGAGAAGAGTAGTAGTACTAACAGCGAGAGCAACCGCTGTGTTGTGTAGTAGTTGCTAGTAACGTAGAATAGTGATGGTAGTAGGGGTGAAGTTCAACTACTATACGTTCTGGGATTAAGCACGAAAGTGAGAAAGAGAATGAGGATAGAAAGAGAGAGAACGGGAAAACGTAACAGACGTATTTTCCACCTTTCTCCGTCACCGTAAAATTACCTGTCCGTTTTCACCTTGTCGAAATGAAATTACGAATTCAAATATGAATTTTAAGCGCACCTGGTAATCTCTTTGTTATTTTAAGAGAAGGAAAGAGAAACGTAGAAGGTAAAGCGTTAAATTTATGCTCGATATACATATCTTCCGTTCGTCGGTACCAACCAAGTATGTGTATCTATGTGTATAGTATTACACACAATATCTAGTCGTATATACATAATTTCCGTGTTTCGATTCGATCGTTAATTTAATTCGGCCGAAGAATTAATTATCCTAGCAACGTGAGCCTTCGGTCAATTCTCAAAGAGAGGAGTGGAAACAGAGAGGGATAGATAGAGAGAGAGAGAGAGGGGGCAGCCCCTCGCCAGTTTTGTTTATAACGTGCTTGCGCGAACACTGAATGCATTAATATGTATTACGTGAAATATGTAAATACGTATAAATGTAAATATGTAAAGTGCACTCATATATACTATGTATACTCCTACATACGAATCAGTTAAGCTCTTTTACATGTTAAGAATTCAAATTATAGAAGAATAAAGAGACATGCTCTGCAAAGTACTTCCCAGACGTTTATGATGCCGCAAATAAAGAAAAGAAAAATAAAAAAAAATAAAAAGAAAAACAAAATTGTTAAATAGAAGCGAAGAGAACGTGTTATTGCGCGTGAAAAGCATGATAGATAAATGGAGAGAGAGAGAGAGAGAGAGAGAGAGAGAGGGTGAGAAAGGAAGAAGAACGAAACAGAGGAAAGATGTGGCAGTGGGAGGTAGGTGATAGGGAAAAGGGATCGTTTGTGAGACAAGAAAGACCAAAAGAGAGCAATAGAAAGAGAGCAAGAAAGATAGAGAGAGAGAAAGAAAGAAAGAAAGAAAGAGTGAGACGCAAAAAATAATGGAAAGAAAGGAAGGTAGGCCATAAAGAAGGGTGAGAAGGGAGCGCGGAGCGTGTATTATAGGTTTGCCGGGTCTGTAATCATCGCAGGACCGCGAAACGCCCACCGACGCCCTCTCATTCCGCGTCTTGCCATTCTATTTTCCTCTCTTCTTTCTCTCTTCGTGCTCGAGGCACTTTCCGTTCTGAGCCTGCTGCTCGTGTCCTCCATCCTTTTCTCTTTCTCTCTATCATTTTTTTTTCCTCCTTCCTTTTTCCTCCTTTCTTCTTTCTTTCGTTTTATATATCTCTCCCTTTTTTTTTCTTTCATTTTTTCTTTCTTTCTTCCTTTCTTTCTTTTTTCTCTCTCCACTCGCAGCCGTAGGTTATGCATGCCCACTCTATAATCATTATCGGCCCTACCAGGCCGACCCCTTTCTTCTCCACCCCCAACCCTTTCCTCCTGTCCCTTTTCGTCTCGCAGCTCATTTTCTCTTCTCTTCTCACACTCTTTAGACAGAGAGAGAGAGAGAGAGAGAGAGAAAAGCCACGTTTGCAAGCCTCGGGCCACCGCGGCTATCCTATCTTTTCCTTTTTTCGCAACCCTTTTACCTTCCCCCTTGTTCTCTCTTCCCGTTCATGAATTCCATTATGCTTTATTTAAGCTTGACCGATGGCCGAAGACGCGTGCCACCTTGCGATTCGAGAAATTTTACACAAATATCGGCTATCTCTCTTTTTTTTTGTTTGTTCCAATTATTATACGATCATCTTCTCACATGATGATTTTCGTGTAAATATGTAGGTGTAGAAATAAAAGTGATAAGAAAAAAAGAAAACACGAAGAAACGAAAGCGTGTATTTAATTTCACGATAAAATACCTTTTTCGTTTTCATTGAAACCGACAAAAATTAAAATGGGGAAAAATTTGTAGGTCGTAATGTAAAATGTAAAATGTGAAATTCATTGGATCGATGGAACGAATAGGGAGGATTGAACGCGAGCAAGCACGAGGATAATAAAAGTGGACTCGACTAGATCGTTAATAGTGCGGTAATCGCGCTGACAGCCAAAATTACATTTTAATATCGTCCTCGTGGTGGCGGGGCTCTAAACGAGTACGCTTTACGAACCGTTCCCGTTTCACGTCGCCCGCTAAAATCGAAATCGATTACCGCGAAAGCTCGCCTGACGATTGTTAATAACCATCGACGTAGATAATTATGGTTTGTCACGTAACATCCATGTAGAAAACTTCTTGTTCATATTATCATCTGGCAGAAAAATAAGATATCATTTCTCGTATAATATATCGATTCGAATAAATTCTTTTGAAACAACGGTTCTAACTTTTGTTTTTATACTATCGTAAGCGGGGACTCCTTTGAATCTCTTTCTTTTTTTCTCTCTCTCTCTCTCTCTCTCTCTCTCTTGGGAAAGTCTTTTTTCATTGTTGATGAAGAAAAGAAGAAATGTTGATAGAAGGACTTTTTTCGTATTACAGAGAAGTTCCATATCTCCCGGTGACAAGTACAGTCGACCACGAACACCGCAAGAGTCCCATCACGGTCATCATTCCCAGAACCATCACGATCACTCGATGCACATAAAGAAAATGAAGAAGGAACAGGACAAGGACATCGGACACGTAAGTTCCACATTTCTTAGTGTAGATAACTTACACGCATACGCGCGATAAACGACAAGGATCTTTGGTATTGGAGAAGACTATAATTTAGTCGTTCCGAAGAAATCCCCGATTAATCGGTTGCTCGGTAAGGCAGGTTAGATCGCTATCGCTAATTAGATTCCTATCGAGTGTCGCTAGTTGCATTAGAGAGAGCCGATACATAGGTAATCTCGATTAGATAATCACTATCGTGGAAGGAGGTAATTACGAAGAGAGTTGTTAGAGTCGAGAGATCACGTTTTTTTTATTTCTTTTTATTTTATTATTTTTGTCGATTGTAATAGAGCGACGGAGAGAAGAGCGATCAGGATCTAGTGGTGGACGATGCGAGCGAGGGTCCGACGAGTCCGGTGGTCAATGGAAGGTCGTCTCCTCGAGAAAATGGCATAGACAAGGTGGTAGTGGCACCATTGGGTAGCAGCGTGCAAACGAAAAAAGACATTACACCGCACTCGCCTAGAAGTGGGACGAGTAGCAATGCGAGCACACCTTCGGCCAAAAAAATGGAAGAACGTGAGAAAGCTACGACACCGATCTCGAAGTCTCTCACACCCACTTCTGGTTCGGTTGTCGGTGGCGGTGGTGGTAGTGGTAGTGCCGGTGGTGGTGGTGGTGCTAGTGCTGGTTTAAAAACATCGGCTTCGGCTAAACTTTTACAAGGTCCACCAACCGGTGCTGCGGTACCTGGTCCTTACCCTCCTCATTATCCACCCGGGCCACCTCCCCATCATCTCGGGCCAGCTGCTCAACATCCTCACGTTGACATGATCGGCTACAACGGTTATGCGCCACCTAGAGCACCGCCTTCTCTTCAACAACTCTATGATCCCCACGTCACGATGAGGGCACCTATTGTCGGCGCGGTTGGTGTACCCGGCGGCAAACCGTGAGTACGAACGACAGATTCATCAATCCCAAATTTATCAACGATCAATAATATTCATCTTTTCCGGCTTTGACTTTTGTTTAACAGAGCTTACAGTTTCCAAGTGTCGGGCGACGGACACATGCAACCGGCCAGCTTCCCTTTAGATGCTTTGATGGCAAGCGGGATACCGCGTCACGCGCGTCAGATTAATACCCTAAGTCACGGCGAGGTCGTGTGCGCGGTCACGATCTCCAATCCGACCAAGTACGTTTACACCGGCGGCAAGGGATGCGTCAAGGTCTGGGACATCAGTCAAGGCGGGAGTGGCAGCGCGAAGCCGGTTTCTCAACTAGATTGTCTACAACGAGACAATTACATTAGGTTCGTGGAAAATTACATCCATCCTTTTTTTTTTACATTTGTACAATTTTTTTTTTTTCCTATATTCAATAATAAAGTCCCAAGAAACAACGTAAACGTAAAAATTGAACTTTTATCGCGTGAAAAATACGGATGAACGATATTCGCGTATATTATGACGTTACATTGAAAAATTAATAACCATTCGAAAAGCGGCAGTGATTTATAATGAAAACAAAACCGCAGGAATCGACCAGAATTCGCGCTCTCTCCCTCTCTCTCTCTCTCTCTCTCTTTTTCTTTCTCTTTCGATATTTTACGAACGTCAAGCGTATTTTTGCATTGTAATAAAATTCCAAGCGGCAAATTGTTCGCGTTTCGCTCCTCCGCTATGTGATCGTTAATGCTCGTATGTTAATTAAATTTCATACACGTTTCTTGCAATCACGTTTCCCGTTCCTCTCTCTTTCTCTTTCTCTTTCTCTCTCCCTGTTTCTCTCTCTCTCTCTCTCTTTTATAGAGCCTTTACTGGATTTGATATATTTTAGCCCGCTTATATGTAAATTTGGCGCGCTATTGTTCGATTAAAATCTCCGTGAGCATGCATTAATTATCGTTGAAAATACGATCTCCCGATGAACGAATTTTAATACCACCGTCTACATAATCATCTCTAAAGTATTCCCTTACATTATCGCGTTATTTAAATGATGGTATTTTGATTCCATGATGATAAATTATCAGAAAAACGTCATTCCAATGGACGAAGCATTGTAAAATGCATTATTGTTTTTTTTTCTCGGGGAATAATACAGATCAGTGAAGTTACTACCGGATGGTAGGACGTTGATAGTTGGCGGGGAGGCAAGTCAATTGAGCATTTGGGATTTGGCGAGTCCAACGCCAAGAATCAAAGCGGAATTAACCTCATCGGCACCGGCGTGCTATGCCCTCGCAATTTCTCCGGATTCGAAGGTCTGCTTCAGTTGCTGCAGCGACGGAAACATCGCAGTTTGGGATCTTCAAAATCAGGCGTTGGTTCGACAGTTCCAAGGTCACACGGACGGTGCCTCTTGCATCGATATCTCTGCAAATGGATCGAAATTGTGGACCGGTGGTCTTGACAACACAGTACGCTCTTGGGATCTCCGAGAAGGTCGACAGCTTCAACAACACGATTTCACGTCGCAGATTTTCTCGCTCGGTTACTGCCCCACTGGCGATTGGCTTGCCGTCGGCATGGAGAATTCCAACGTTGAGGTACTACACGCTCTAAAACCTGACAAGTATCAGCTGCATCTGCACGAATCCTGCGTACTATCTCTGAAATTTGCTTCGAGCGGCAAATGGTTCGTCTCGACGGGAAAAGACAACCTTTTGAACGCCTGGCGTACGCCTTATGGTGCCTCGATATTCCAAGTAAGAAACATTATTATTATTATTATTATTATTATCATTATTATTATTATTATTATTATTATTATTATTGTTGTTGTATATTTATTGCTAAAAGTTTAAAAATGTTATGAAATTTCGTGTATATATATATCGCGGGATAAAAATGATTCACTTTCACGACGAGATTGAATGGGAAAAGAGTTAAAATGTCTACCGGGCGACTAGCAAAATCAAGCGGATGATCTCGTTTCGATTACACTTTTGAATAAAAATTCAAATTCGTTTGAATCGCGATATTCGATTTTTCGAGCCAGACTACTACTAACTCTCGTCACGAATTCGAAAGATCTATAGCCCTTCCATTGTCAGCCGTGTTTCCAAAAATGTATTTTTACATCCCGCTTGGCACTACCTCTCTCTCTCTCTCTCTCTCTCTCTCTCTCTCTCTTTTTCTTTATTTGTTTTCTACCGCGTAAATCCGCGTGCAGTTTTGGGGAAACCAAAATACGATATTTTTTATATTCAGTTCAGCCCCCCCCCCTCAGATTTTACCCAGATAATATATAAACTGCGCGCGATCGTTGAAATCATCCCGCAAAGTAAAATTCGTAGATATGTAATACTTTGATACATACGATACGACAAGGTAGATACATAATACTAATGTTTCGATTCCACGCGAAATTGGCTTCGCAAACGTAAAATTTGATGAGAGAGTGCGAGGAAAGTTTTTCCTACGGTGACATTTTTTTTTTATCACGCGAAATGACGTGTATCGGGCTAAGCGTACGTTTGTTGTTTTTTTTTTATCCATTTATCTCTCGCCGCACTTATTATTTTTACTACACCTTTTACTTTATATTTTTATATATCTATTTTATCGTTTGAATAATATTTTGACTATTGGACATGTCGATTATCGATTGATTTCAGTCGAAGGAATCGTCATCGGTGCTTAGCTGTGACATCTCCGCGGATGACAAGTATATCGTGACAGGTTCTGGTGACAAAAAGGCGACAGTTTACGAGGTACTTTATTGAAGACAATTTAATGAAGTCTCCACCACCGTCATCGTCATCGAAGACCATTTTTTCCGAAAGTTCATCTATAAAATTCGTGTGTTACGTTATTTACGAACGACTTTGTTGCCGTTGTTGTTCTTGTTATCGTCATCGTTGTCGTCGTCGTTGTTGTTGTTGTTGTTGTTGTTGTTGCTACTGATGGTCAAAGACTCTTATTACAAAATAGCGGGACTGACAAATGGATTTCTCATCGTAGGTTAAATTTAATCTATCATTGGTGATAAATTTCAAGAAGAAAAGAAAAAAAAAGGATAACAAAAAACCAAACGAGGGATAGAAGTTCGAATTTTGTAGATCAATTTTAACTTTGATATTTTTGACAACCGAAACACGATCGGTATCGTAATTTTTTTTGTTTCCGAACTGCTTCGAATATTAATTTTTTCTTTAGTAGTTCTTTTATTTATTTACTTTCTTTTTTTTTCTTTTTCTTTTTTTTTTTTTATTAAAAAAAATGATCGACAAAGTCGCGAATTTCGTAAGTTTTTTGAATAAAAGAGTTACTCGAAGACTCAAGGAAGCCTTACTAAAGTTTAAATTACCGTGAAAGAAGGTGAATGAGGAGGAGGAGGAGGAGGAGGAGGAGGATGAAGAGGCAAAAGGGGCAAAGGAGTGAAGGATGGGAAGGAAACTGCTCGGAACAACAGGCTCCGATAAGCTCCCTTTTAAAAAGCGATCTTGAAAAGCGGTTTCGTTCGTTTCGTATCGCTCGACGTGCATATTTGAATCGCCTTTGGCAACGAGATCAAACATTAATTCTACTTAGGATTAGAAGGGATAGTGACAAGCGGGTACGGCTACGCTTTACTCACGCATATCTTGCCTCTCTTGTACATTTTTGTATATATCATAGATATACTTATAATATAGATATATAAATATAAAAGTATATATATATATATATATATATATATATGTGTATGTATATATATATATATATATACTTATATGTATATATGTATGTGTATATATATATATATACTTATATATATATGCATACATAGCGAGAGAGCATCACGAGCATACCGTCATATTTTTCTACGTCTACCGACAGAGCTTGGTGGCAAACACGAAAAAGATAAAAATCTTTGTAAATATTCATCGAGATTTAGAGATTATTATACATAAGCGGTTAAGATTCGAGTAATAAAAGAGTATAAAGCGACGCATTAAATCCAACATTTATTTCAAACTTATTACCTTTTACTTAGAATATTTATTCAACGGACACGAAGAAATAATATTTTCTGGTAGGTAAAATACAATGCCATATATTTTTTCAAATTATTCAAATGTGCATGATACAATTTGACGCTTTGATTATTTTTTATTTATTCGTTTGAAAAATACTTTAGAATAAAATAACAAATTATGATAGAAAAGAGAGATTTTAATATATATTATATACATATATACATACATATTTGCTAATATCGGTGGAATTAGACGATTCGAATGTATAGAAGGAGAGATAGCAATTTGAATTTGCAACTGGTAGTAGAGGAAGAGTGGTAAAGAACACGGCAGAGATCGCGGTGGCCGTGCGAAAGCTACCATCGAGTAGGTAATTAGCGATGCCATGCATGCACACGGTTCAGCCCTATTCAGTGGAAGGTTCATCGACGTAACGTTATTATGATAGCGGCACATTTTGCATATGTGGCCGCCATTGGGATAGAGAAGAGTATTGCGACGAGGGTTGAGCAATAGAGAGAGAGAGAGAGAAAGGGGGATGGGTGAGGTGGGGTGAGAGGGCTGCGTTGGTAGTAGGGTGCGATGGTGGCTGGATTTGAACGGGGGAAAGGATGATTTTACGCGGGATTTGCCGCACGCTGAGTCGTATTTGCATGGTAATGATATGCGACGCAGGAGGAGGAATGACGTTTGGGGACGTTGTCGGAAGGGGAGGTGGCGGGGAGGTGAATGGGAGGACGGCCCGCTGGTGGGGGAGTTTTACGTAGGTTTAATAGGAGTTAGAACTCGGATGGGTCGAGTACCGAGCGCGCCCACGGCATTTCGCGGATGAATCTTGAATATCACATGAGCTAAATACGGATCGGTTATTACGAATAATTCAGGAGAGAAAGAGGAGGAAGAGAGAGAAAGATTTATTGTATTACAGGGAAGAGTTTCATCGATACGAAGGAAGGTAGGTATTTTATTAGGTAGTATTAAGAGATTAAATTATAAATTTTTATTGGAAGGGTTCCATACGACATTGTTAACACCGATATTTTTTACACTCTACACAGTTGTAACCGTCCATTAAGTGCATATACTGTGTGCCAAGCAGTAAGACCTAAATATTCAATCGTTTCCAAGAAAACGAAGAAATAAGTTTCATAAAATATTCTTATATACGGGTAGTTCTTTTCAGTAGTTACTATATTTTAACACTTCGTCGTATGTGTTAGCCATCTTCGTGCTTGGTTCAAAAATTGTCAACCTAACGTTGCGTGATGGGCTGAGAACTTTTCAGTTCCTCTCGTGTGTTTTAGTTCAAGACTTTAAAAACTGTATAGAGTTTAACAAATATCGGTGTTGACAAGGTCGTATCGAGCCTTTGTCAGATTTATTTATGCATATACATATTTATGAAAAATATAGTACAATAAGGTATTCAAGCATAGAATCGTAATCGATAAGAAGCGAAATAAAGGAAAACAAAGAAGTTAATTTGAAGTGATACGTAATTACGTGGCACTGTGGTAACGTTAGTTATGAAATAAAGTTCTTAAAGCATATGTTACGACATTTGACAACTCAACCGAGCGTTTTCGTGTTGAACTACGACAGAAACAGAGTACCAGGAATAGGTTACGGGTTATAGTCATTAAAATAAAGAAGAAGTAAAGAAGTCAGTGGGAGAAGTGATTAGTGGGGAGGAGGAGGAAGAGAAGGAGGGGGAGGGGGAAATGCGTCTTATTTTTTCTCGAACGAAAAGCAAACGCAGAGACGCAACGCGTATCCTCTCTTTTATCAGAGCTTAATGTATTCTCATAAGAAATTCATGAGCGTGTGTCGGATCGTATACATCTACATCTACATACATACGCGTGCGCATACTAATAAATATAAGTACATGCATGTATGCGTTGTGTTGTATATTACGTAGAAAGACGGATGACTCTGTTGATTTTCGACGTCGTTGGAGAAGGATATTTTACGACGTGCCGATTTTTATCCGTTAGAATATACGAGCGAGTGAGCGAGAGAGAGAGAGAGAGAAAGAGGACGCAGTTTGGGGCAGCAGAGAAGGAAGAAAGGGAACGCAACGGAACGCAAAGCGCCCACCCACACGCGAGGCACTAATTTTCCCTCTGTCCGTTGGCGTCCCGCTGCGGCCTTGGCGGCAGTGCGCACACAAACGTGGCAAATTAACAGCCACGCAAATGAGCGAGTTCACGCGCTCGCTTTCGTGTTTCACCGGTACCTCTCTCGTCACAATTGGACACTAATAAACGCGCGCCAACGTATTCTCCATTCCTCTCTCTCCCTCTTTCTCTTTCTCTCATTCTCGTTGTTTCTCACACACATAACCCACTCGCGTTCTCCTGCCAATGGGATAGTACTACAACACATTTCTTTTTTCTTTTTCTATTATGTGTTTTTTTTCTCTCTCTTTCTCTTTTCCTTTCTCCTTTAGCTCCTATTTTACAGCACGAGAGCCGAAGAAAATCGTCCGTCCAGCAAAAACGAAAGGAAGGAGAACATCGACTCGCTTGGTTGCCTGCTCGTCGATGCCCGTACGAAACGAAAGAGAGAACGGTGTTAGTCGACATGCTTCGTTGCACGGAAAAAGAATAACGGGGGTTATATTTTCGAAGCGATTCAATTGCTCGTGGATGAGTGTATGTATTTTATCGGATGGACCACCCCCTCGTTTATCGACGAGGGACGAAGGTTCTACTTATTTACGAGAAGACTTATTGTTCTTATTCTGCAAATAAATCTTTCTCAATTTTCGAAAAGAGAGAAAGAGAAAGAAATAGTTCCGTACAAATATATAACGTATACATACATATATGCCTCGTTGTGTTTCCCGATAAATAAAATACATTCTCGATCAAAAATTTCTATCATTTTATCATCAATGTTTTAACGATAAAATAATGTTTATTATCTTTTTTATTTACATTTCGCAATAAATTGTTGTTTCTCCCTTATATTTTTGATTTTATTTAATGAAAACAAATTGAAATTCATTGAAAAGCTTTTGTATCTATAGAGAAAAGTTGAAGTTTTTGATCGTGGATGTACCTATATGTACATATGTAGTATACGTATATCATGTGAAAGCGTTCTTTCGTATATATCGGAATAACAACGAACGGTAAGATAAAAAAGATGGTGCCTTTGGCGATTGCGCTTTCCGGTTTCCTCGGTGTCTAACAAAAATACTGCGATGCCACGAAAAGGCTTGTACGGTTATATACGAAACCGCTCGAACGAATCCTTTCGTGTTTGTTCGATCTTCGCAAGCAGGATATGAATATTCGAGGTCGGTTTCCTATCTCGCGGAATGGGTAGACTCTTTGAAGAGAAGATTCCATTTTATGATGAACGTGCACGATAGATACACAGACAGATAGATAGATAGATAGAAAGATAGATACATATGTATATATACAAATACAGATATATACGGGTCAATGGAAATAGAAAAATGATCTATACGTTATACCTATCTTTTTCTAAAGGAATAGCTAGCTAGCACGCGATAAAAGTATCGGTACGTGTATAGTGAAATGATTTTTCAATTTAATCCTTTTAAACAAATACAATATTACGAGAATCATTGATTATATATACGTAAATAAATGGAACGATTGGGGAGTGGTAAAAATGATCATTCGACTCGATTGATCTTGTTTTTAACGCGTGGAAAACAAACTGATCGCATTCGTGAAATCTCAATTCAATCGAAAGCTTTTTAAAACGAGTCGTTTTTCGCGATTCACGTTGAACAATTCGATTCGTTTATTCGCACGATGCAGGATTAATAAATATCGTCCGAATAAGCGAGGAGGGTGCAGAGTGGGACAGCACCGGTAGTTCGCCCTGTTAGAAATATCTGTCCACACGTCTGGAAATAATTCTTCACCAATCGTCTGCGAGTTACGCGTATCTCGGAAATAAATTGGAACGCGTGTGCTTAAGAGGAGGGGAAGGGGGAGGGGGAGGCGGAGGAGAAGGAAGAGGTTCACGGGGACGGTGAGGCATATCGCGAGCGCGATGAAAGTCACGTTTCTCCGCCGAGAATCGATCCCAGAGATCCCAATAAACGCCGAAATATATTTTTCCAACGCGACATTTCGTGGATATAAATCTTTGAAATCGCCTGCGATTCGTTTTCACGCCTTCCATCGACGTTCCTCCGGGTTTTCTATTTTTTTCTTTCTTTCTTTCTTTCTTGCTTTCTTTTTTTCTGTTTATTCTTTCGCGAAATAGTAACACCGATATCGCGAGAATTTTTAATATCAATTTTTTGGAGAATAAAAGAATAAAAAAAATAAAAATAAAAATCCAAGAAATAACAACAATTGTCTGATATTAATTATCGTTGGAAGACTGTCGAGTATTATACTACTCGACGTTGAAAATCCTTTCGCAATGAGCTCAGAAGAGAATTCTAAAGTGAACGAAATGGGTGGGTGTGGGGGGGGGGATAGAATGGGAATAGTCTCGGAGGCACAAGGTGGCAGTTAGCGGAGAAGAGTCGTAAACGCGATGGTAACGCGTGTATGTACGAGCTTTAAAAGTCCTCTGCTACTTCCTCTTATAAGCACCGTACATAAATATATACATGCATTAATGTATGTATACATATAGATGGAGTAGGAGAAAGAGGAAGAAGAGGGCAGGAGGGTGAGTATATACTTGAAGCCGTT